GAAAGGTCCATGAAAGTGAGTTTGGTGTGCACGCAAACGCAGTTTGCTTTGGTTTGATCCCCCCTCACATATTCTAGTCCGGCATATCATAGACATAGTTCCAGTTATTCCAGTCTCACATAGTTTGCGGTATGTCTGATATGTTTATGGACATTGTTATAAGGACGTGTATGATCAATCACCAATAATAAAACCTTGCCAATGCATACAAACATGCCAATAATAAAATGTCATATCATTATATTTCATTTTGTATATATATATATATATATATATATGCATTATGTTTCATATTATTACATAATTAGTGAAAGCATACCATGAGCTTTCAGCATCAAACCATGTACTGCTTTTCTACAGGTTATTGTCTACCGTATTATGCTGTTTAAAGTAAAATCACTGGCATGCAGGCAATCATAATAGGTCATACTTTTTGTAAAAATGATAATAACGTCGACACATTCTTGCGAGTGCCGCACCACTGGTCAGTGTTTATGGATGCCAAATAACCTGGGAACCTCAATTCATACTCAACTCAACTCACTCCACTCAGCCCTTGTGAACTGAACAATGGAAAATGATGTAATCCATCTCTCAAAAGACACCAACGAACAGGTTTGTCTCCTATCGAATCTGGCTCGCTTTTTTCTCAGCCAGGCTGAAGGCCGAATATTTTGGTGGGACTTGAGCCCCGCGACTGAATAGGGCGCCGCACTCCTGCCAAATATTTACCAGTGCCAGGCATGGATAAGACATGTTGTAAGAGTGCTAGGCATGTTCTAATAGTTCCTGGTGTCAAATGAGACCTGACACACACATGATAAAGATGCTCCTATGTTTCTAGTACTGGTACAACTACAGAAATATGCCACAGAGCATGGCATTTTGGGCATACCACCAACGCATCTAATCATTTGATCATCACCCACGCAATAGTCAAAGTATTTCACCTGGGGGAGGGGCGGTTTGTCCAAATTTTTACTCCTTGAAACCCTCCTGCAACGTTTCAAAAGTTGCACTTCACCATAATTGTTTGCCTTAGGTAGCAAAGGTTAACACTGAGGCTTTCCATTACTTTTTAGGTACTTTAAGTTACTTTTAATGTTTTGGAAATCAGATAGTTATGTCTGGTCCCAGGGGTTTTTTACCTCCAGGGATCTCATTTGCCTTCCAGGCGTAGTGTTAGGTTAGGTACCCAGTGGTCCTCCATTGCTTATTGAAATGTTCATGAAGAAGGCCTCACAGTGCCAGGGTCGTCTGCCTCACAAGCGACCTACAAATTTGGAACATATTTAGCCCAATTTCATTATTTCTTTGCTTTTGAAGGCCAAGAGAATGGGAGGGGTGTGATAGATTTTCTCATCGTGGTGTGCCATTTGGTGAACTAGCAATTTGAAAATAGCACGAAACTGCGTCTCTGAAGCATCATCCTTCGCTACATGGGAGCAGTTAGATCATGATGTTTATTAGCTAAACGTAATAATTACGTTTAGGACTTCAAACAAAAGCACTTCTGCTATTGTTTCGATAAGGGCATGTTGCCCGAATACCAACCTAACTACATCTCCATTCTTCTGTTTTCCCCGAGGAATAAGGCTCATACTACTGCCTTATTTAGGTGAATAATGTTCCTTGCAAATGCACTGAACAACTCACGTGGTTTTAAAACAGTTTTCCCCTTACATTAGAACTACTTGAACCGAAGCGCATAAAATGGAGATGGATGTCCGTTTAGGCGCGTTCTTGGCCTTCTTCAAGAAATGCGTAAGAATTCGCAGAGTTTGCTATTAACACTGCGTATTTCCGCGTTAAAAATACCGGTGGGGAGGCGAGCTAGCGAGCGTGCCTATGACATCCTTGGGAAAGTTTGCAATTTTTCATCTTCAAATGTTGTCGTCTCGATTTTACGAGACTTGTCACCAGCCATCTTGATGAACAAAGTCGTGAGTTTCGGTGGGAGTAGATCTGCATAATCTTTATTACAGCCACCCTACCGTATTCGCACCAGACAATATGTTGTTGCATAGTTTTAAGTTTTTGCAAAAAACAATTTTACCCGGAAATCACTGATCAAAGAAGTGCCGTTAAAAACGAACTTGGAAAACTTTTTAAAAGGTTCGAAAAACTTTGTATTGTAATTAATCTTGAAACAGCTATATGGTGCCAGTGACACCGTTTAACTCCAATGGCTAATGTTACCTTTTACTGTTGGGAAATCGCAGTTCATCGCATCAAATCCTGGCAACCAAAACACGGGAAGGCTTTCCTATTACCTGATTTCATATGGATAACAGCAGTATGAGTGCAGTAAAGAGTGCGTGTAGTATGAATGGTCTCACTTTAAACAAATCACTTCACTCCAGATGTGGGCATTTCAGTTTTTTTCATGATAAACAGCACCATTAGACTGCACGCAGAGCGAAACGAAAACGCGGTCAAAAACGTATCGCCGGAACTTTACTAGACACCAATTCCGGTTGTCGATGGAACATTTCGTTGTGATAGAGCAGTTTTGGCTGCATATACTTCAGTCGCGCAGGCTTTCTAACGGGCTTGTGCAATTAATGACGAAGGAATGTTTGATTAACGAGTACTTTGTTTTCCCGTTTGACAAAAGCTATGGCAGAAGCGTCCCTGTGGTGGTGCCGGGGACCATAACGTTTTGTAACACTCACCAGGCAGGTGTTCAGGTGGCTCAGAAATCTACCCCTGTTCCGGCTATGCCTGCTCTTTCATAAATGTCACCACACTTGCTCCTGTTCTTTGGGTGGGACAGCAATATGGTGCGTTGGTGCGTGCTCATTTACAAACTCGTTACCGTTGGTAGAGTTCATCAAGCAGGCCAATATCTGGCTTCGTATCCCGCGTGATTACAAAAACGTCATTCTTGGACACTTATTGTACATATTGATGGCTAGAGACCACACCCATTCACGCGCGTGGCAGGGATCGTGGCACATTATCGCAAAATCAAACATCCGATAACTGCCTTATTACAGCCATGACCATGAACAATTACGAAACAGCTCGGCCTCCGGCACACCACCAGCCACCCGTTTTTTTTTTTACACTGCCTCCAGCACACCATCAGATAAATCGCTTTTCCGACACCGCCTCCATCTCACAATCAGTCACCCGCTTTTCCGATACTGCCTGCTACACACCATCAGCCACCCGCCCTTCCAAAATTGCCTGCAACACACCTTAGACCGCTCGCTCTTCCGACATCGCATTTATCGCACTATCAGCCGACCGCTCTTCCAACACCGCCTCCAGCACACTATCAGCCAACCCGCTCTTACGACACCGTCTCCAGCACATCATCAGCCAACCCACTTTTCCGGCACCGCCTCCAGCACACTTTCAGCCGCATTAGTATCAATATCACGAATTAGATATCCCGTCATCATATGAGGAAGGGCTCAGTGTTCCTCAAAGGATGACATGATACAGATCTGGATGCGTAATTCATTATCAGTGCGGCGCACACAAGCTTAACGTTCTACCGATGCGGAAGCCCACGATTTTCTTTCACTTTTAGGAGCCGGGTGATGCGTAAAAAAATCTGGGACCTGTTGGACGCACAGAAAGCTGGATAATACACGTGGTTGTCTACATCTTTCAATGCCTATATCCTTTTCATGTCGGACACGTAAAGTGTGCTGGCTGCGCCGCTTCTAGCATCGCTTAGTGATTGTCCGACACTGGTTTGTTTAAGACAAAAAAATCAAGCAAAAATATCAAACACAATTTACCGACATCAACACCCTCTCCAGGTCTGGAGTTTAAGTGTTCGTTCAGTACCGTTCACTCCATGGGCCAGTGGGTAATAACGTTTGCGCGGCCCAATAACGCTTACAGTAAGGCCTAGCCATGCACCAGCACTACACGTTCATCATTGGACGCAGACCGATCACAATATGCCTCTTCATTTGAACATCCCAGTCAAAATGCACGGCGACATCCTACCACTGCTCGGCGAAATTCCTTCCCACCAGCAAGTGGAGACGAAATGTAACATCGGAAAATACCAGCTACATCATGTGCTACATCGTTCACCAACAACGTAGCCATTCACGTTGATCCACAACCTACCCACAATAATCCATATATCAGGCCGCTCCGACCCAGCTTGAGATGAGCAGTGAAGTATGAGCGGTCAGCTCGCTGCAGCTGAACTATGCTCACCTAGAGCTCACTGCCAACCAGCTGTGGTCCTCCCCAGCTCACTGCCACCAAACAGATGCGTCCCCTAGAGTTCGCCGTTACCAAACAGTGTCACCCTGGAGTCAACAGCCCTCAGTCATTCATTGCTCCTGTTGTGCTCACCGACGTCGGATAACATTCCTCTCGAGTTCACCTCCGCGCACAGCACCAGTCTTGATCTTACCTCCGCCGGACAGCACCAGTTTTGAGCTCGCCTCTGCTGGACAGCACCAGTCTTGAGTTCACCTCCGCCGGACAGCACCAGTCTCGAGCTCACCTCCGCCGGACAGCACTAGTCTTGATCTCACCTCCGCCGGACAGCACCAGTCTCGAGCTCGCCTCCGCCGGACAGCACCAGTCTTGAGCTCGCCTCCGCTGGACAGCACCAATCTCGAGTTCACCTCCGACAGACAGCACCAGTCTTGAGTTCACCTCCGCCGGACAGCACCAGTCTCGAGCCCACCTCCGCCGGACAGCACCAGTCTCGAGCTCACCTCCGCCGGACAGCACTAGTCTTGATCTCACCTCCGCCGGACAGCACCAGTCTCGAGCTCGCCTCCGCCGGACAGCACCAGTCTTGAGGCTCGCCTCAGCTGGACAGCACCAATCTCGAGTTCACCTCCGACAGACAGCACCAGTCCTTGAGCTCGCCTCCGCTGGACAGCACCAATCTCGAGTTCACCTCCGACAGACAGCACCAGTCTCGAGCTCGCCTCCGCCGGACAGCACCAGTCTTGAGTTCACCTCCGACAGACAGCACCAGTCTTGATCTCACCTTCACCGGACGGTCGCCCTCACGGTCGACAGACGGCCGCGGGCCGACGAAAACGTCCCAGCTTCAAACGAACGTTGCGTCGGTCGCCTTGCTGGTGAGCGGCACACCGCGAGGCTGAGCGACGGGTCCGACTGGGCGGCGGCACGGCTCGGTCCGACAGCCGCAGCAGCCCGCAGAACGCCGCCCAAAACTGCTTGCTCATCATGCAGTAGACCAGGAAGTTGACGGCCGAGTTAGTGAGCGCCAGGATGTCGAGCAGCTCGCCGACGTGGAGGTAACAGGTGCGGAAGAAGCGGTCCTGCAGGATGCCCGAGAGCAGCGCCAGGATGCCCTGCGGGAACTCGGTCAGCAGGAAGAGCAGCAGCACGGCCACCAGCATCCAGGTGGTGCGGTCCGTCTGGCGCGTGCCCTTGAGCAGGTGGTGGTCGGCGCTGAGCGTCAGACACCCGCTCATCAGCCGCTGTTTCCGCCGCTTGGTCTCCAGCAGGACTTGGATCATACGTACCGAGAAGTACGTCAGCACCAGGCAGGGGACTAGCTTAATGAGCACTGAGTACAGCCAGAAGTTGGCACGGTTCAGCAGGCCGCCGTAGGCGCGCCCGGCGGCGCTGATGTCGATGCGGTAGAGTATGGTACCGTCGGCGGCCGGCAACCGGCGCAGCGCAAAGGTGAAGTAGGACGGGATACAGATGATGGGAGAGATTAAGTAGGCGCCTGCGATGTACATGAGTGAACGGCGCATGTTGCAGCAGCGCGACACGGTGTGCGGGTGGACGATGGAGAGGAAGCGCCACACGGCCAGCACCACCGTCATCCAGATGGCTATTGTGTGGAAGATCTGGGTGAAGTGCGCGTGGAAGAGCACGTAGAGCGTGGCGGAGTAGGAGAACATCTCCTTCTCGCTGCTGATGTAGTGCCTGTAGGCGAACACGATGTACTCTAGCGTCACCATGATGTCCGCTATGGCCAGTCCAGTCAGGATGGCATTCGTCGGCGATAGCATGTCCTTGCGCGTGAGCACCACGATGTTGATGAGGTTGGCGATGGAGCCGAAGATGCAGACGACGAGCGCCAGGTAGCCGTGTACGGGCCGGTAGTGGTCACGCAGCCAGCGCCCGCCCTCGCCGCAGAAGGCCTCGCCGCGCTCGCCGTCGAGCCGGCCGCCCAGCTCCATGTCGTTGCCCGTCAGGTTCTGGTAGATGACCCAGTCCGCCAGCGTCAGGTTAAGCCGCTTCAGCATCATCTCCAGAAAGAGCTGCGCGTTGCTCGTCACCTCCGTGTTCATCGACATCTTGCGGCAGCTTCGCGGGCGAGCTCCAGCCCAGGCCCTGCTGGCGAAAGGAGAACGAGTTGGAGATAGGTTTGGTGAGAGCCTTGATTAACACGCAGTGGAGAGGCGCGTGCTCTGTTCATGCTGAGCTTTCCTTTGCATGCTCAGATACTGTTATGCATGTGTGGGAGCCCAGCGGAACAAAATCCTGATGGTGTCATTATGATCGAATTACGAAATCATGGCGGAATGTGTCAGCATTGATTGCATCGCTGAAAGTCGTCCCTCAGAGAGGCCTTCCATTGTTTCCATTATCCAGTCTTTTTCTCGGTGTAAGATATATGGCTCATATATATATATATATATATATATATATATATATATATATATATATATATATATGCATATATATTACCAACATGTTGAATTGCAAAAAGTACAAAACACGCGCACAGCCAGGTTCGAACTTTGCCGACCAGGCATCGTGGCGACACGGGCATGACACATTCTGACAGAAGAAAAGATGTCACGGATTACACCGTGAAAGCTACGCACCCGCCGGGTTGTTGTGGGGAGGTCTTAAATAATCCATGTTAGATACTTTCGGCAACCAGAACCGGTAGGGACGATAAGATGGCTGCATGATGTAGGCAAATTTTCTGGCCACAAATCGTCAAGCGGCTCGACACCGTCCGGTCCACATGTACACCACTAAACAATCATGACGAGGCCATTGTCACTTTTCCGAAGCCGGCCCAAGTACCACGAGCTGTGTGTGGCTTAGACCAAGAGGCAGTGGGCCATGAAAGTGACATAGGCACACAACGTAGTGTGTTGTGATCAATACACACACTAAATACTGTGTGTTGTGTTTGTGTTTTCCAGCGCCCCGTCACAGTTTCTATACACGCCAGCTATTCCACATCCGTCGATTTCGTCAATTTAAACTGCCAGGTTTGGGCAGGCCCTAAGCAATGAAATACTTCGCCATGATAAACTGGACAGCTGATATGAACAGCTTAATTCAAATCCGGCTCACAACTTGACATGTGCTTAATGGCTGTAAGTTAGATTCAAAATAATCAAAAGAAGCAAACGTACTAGGCTTTTAACCTTCAAAGTTACCGAAACATTGCAAACATACAGATTTTGGCTAAAGGGTCACGCGTTCGCAGCCCAAGAAAAGTTCATGTTTTCAAAGCTTGAAAGCCACGGTTTCAAGGACGTACTGCGCCCGTGCTCGGAGTTTCGCTAGATCTTCGCAAAGATAACCTTGACAAAACGCTGATTATTAGCAAAAAGTTAACGCATCACACCACATCGTAATACATCTCCACAGGCACGGACACTCCCTAGGACCACCGCATGGCTTCTATAGCGTACCACATCTTCAAATCGCAGTTAAAGATATCGATATCACAAACGTTTGCATTTGCCTGGTATTTCTGCCATGTCGCGACACGCCCGCCATGTGTCGGTCCTACGCAACTCAACTTATTCATTAGACCATGTGTCTGCGGGCATCGGCACCATACCCAGTTACCCAATACTTATATTCTATACAGGAGCCCACGCGCCGTGCATACCGACATTTCTTGTCAAGAATGCACAAATCTAAATACCTTTGATTCAAGTCATGCCGCTCTGCAGCGACCCTTTGTGAGCTGTACCATGTGAACCAGGTTGTCGGTTTTCAAAAGGAAACAATATTGCATTCCTTTGTGCGGCATGGCATTGAATCGATATACAATTAGACAGCACGTTTATTCATGCGGTAAGTCTTTTGAGGATAAGTGCATCATGTGCATTGTATAAGGTAAAAGATCCCCACGGAAAGCATATATGGATCAGGACAAGAGAGCGGCAATATTTGAAAATGCAATGCACAGGTACATACATGCAACGCAAGCGAAGCTCGTCGTCAGGCGGCATTTTGAAACGTCGGTTTAAACAGGCATAACGCGAGCGGCTCCCAGGCCTTTCTGCTCTAAGCCACGCACGCAGCGCGGACAGTGTCGGCCGCAACGGACAGTGTCGGCCGCAACGGACAGTGTCGGCCGCAGCGCGGACAGTGTCGGACGCAACGCGGACAGTGTCGGCCGCAACGCGGACAGTGTCGGATGAAGGGCGGACAGTGTCGGATGCAGCGCGGACAGTGTCGGACGCAACAGGCACATTGCCGGACGCGCAGTGACGGCCGAAAGCAGCAGCGGGCTCCACGAGGTGGCAGCATGCCAGCGAAACGCTCTCCATGTGGTCGACGGTTTGCTCCTCGTGGCAGCCCCAGAGCTCCGACTTCTCGGGTGAGCGCGGCGGCCCGGCGAGACACCGCCAATCGAGGGACAAATCAGCGGCGAACCGGCAGCGGCTAGGCTGGATATGTAGCCCTCTGCCAACTTTCACAAGACCCTCTTTCGCACCAGCTGCTCCACCTGAACCGAACCCAGAGACGCCAACGCCGGCCTGACCCTTTGCCGACAACGCACGCCGGTCGCGATCCATAATCTGAAGTTCATTATCTTTTTGACCCGGGCTAGCTGATCTTTGGCTGCTCCAGTCCACACCGAAAGGCTCCATACAACTGTGGGAGAGGCGTGCATTTTGATCAGCAATTTCAACATTTCCCGATTAAATAAAATATCCCACGTTTAAAGATTTTGAAGCAGGCATCAGGTATAATGCAGTAAGGCTGTGTATATCCATTGATATACTTTTAAGTGGAAATGACTGCTCTGGAAAACATAATTTCTCTATTCAGAAAACCTGCTCCTTAATGCATCGTGATTTCAATGTTCATGGAATGCTTTCATGACGCTGAGGTGCTGTTAAACTTGAGCCGTCCAAATTTGTCAACTAAGCACTAAGATACTTCACACTCGCCGAGGCATAGCAGTGGCGGTGCTGGAAGTGTTCGTTGAGCCAAATATCGTCATGTGCTTGTGTTTTCGTCTTTCCTCGTAGTGTTATTGCACATTAATTCATGAGTTTAAGATGTTTACTTGTATTTACATACGCGGTTATGGTGCTCTTTAAGTTATTCGATGATAAGCCTCATTTCCGTAAAAAACTAACAATTATGTCCAACATCTCATATAACGTAGCACAAAACACGATTCGTGATTTAAACTCACACAGCTTGTTCAACCATGATTGAGAGCCATTTGACGTTCACTAGGTTTGAAAAGCGTGCTCACGAACGCCAGATCTCAACGGCTCGACAGGAATGTTGTTCCTAGCCTTGAACGCCGCCTGACCTGTAGGGTGGCAGAATTTGAATGACTGCTATGGCGTCACGCACGCCTGAATGACCTTGAAATAGTCTGCACGAAACATTTTACACATCTTCACGGGTGTGTAGCTCAGAATTAGAGGGTTTTAGGTCTTAAGAAGGGCAGTGCTATTAACAGCCCGAATGACCTTCAAAATGGCTGCCTCGACTCAGAACTCCACACAAATGTGAAACCTTCCCTTTAAGGTGTTGACGGGACCAATAACGATATATCAAAAGGGCTTTGCACCTGCTGACGATGTGGCCGATGTGAATGTCCAAGGACATCTATGGGTCAATGGTCACATCCAGCAGTCGTATAGACGAAGAGGGTTTGGTGACCGATCCGGGTATACTTAGGTGGAAGTCTTTTGCTTTGTTGACGGTTTGATGGGCTACGATAGAAAAATAATGTTTTTAATAGACCAAGAACTAAGAGAGGCGTTCATTATCAACATAGCTCCTAAAATGGAAGGGGCGAACATAATCAGAGCGTTAGGAGCGGCAGGGTCTTTGGGAAGCTTATCGTTATGGGCAAGGTTGCTTGCAAATAATACTTGAGTTGTAAACAAAGACTCAGACCTCGATGTCATTGGCCTTCTCGGATGACAAGCCACATACCTAATTTTAATTCACACCGGTAACTTAGTTCGCAGTCAAACAGAGTTAATTATTTGGGAAGCTCGGATTAAGACAGCTGAGCCATGGATGCAATAATTTCTCCAAAACATACTCCAGCGCGTAGTGCGGATAACTATCGCACCAAGGAAGATTGGGTAGTTCAGTAAAACATTATTACATTTACTCCTCTCTGTCTTGTTACCATGCGTGATTTTTGAACCATTTCATCTCTGTATGGTAAAACATTTATTTCGAGCCTGGGTGGATACTGATGACAGCATAAACCGCAGGCAACGTCCAACCCCTAAGGCGGATGCGGGTTCAAGCCATAATGGAAAGCATGATTTGCATACTGCCCACGTCAGAAGCTCGTAAGATGCTTGTGCATCACATGAAATGCAGGCGGGGCTCTCCGTTGGTCCGAGCTGACATGGGCAGAATGACGGCTTACTGCAAGGTGAATGGTGAAGATGGACGCCGACTAAAAGCCGTTCAGACGCCCTTCTTAAAAATGCCGAGGAACGCTTTTTGCGGATTTTCAGGATTTAAATGCAATGTTGTTACGATGCATCGTCTTTCTCCGTTTATGGATCCGCCGGTTTCAGCCGCGATTTTTCTGCGATAATGTAGCCGGGGTCGTGTCCAGACTGTGCCCATTAAAGTCTCGGTAACATGGAGGAATGGGTCCATAACACGGTGGTATCGACAGAGCAGCAGACGAACTGCACACACGGTACAATCAATTGCACACAGCTCCACTGACATTGGTGCCCAGAGGGCCATTGGAAAATTAAAGGCCAGCTGGCCATGCGGCCATCTTGTATCTATTTAAAATTTCAGGAGGAGGAGCCGTCAGAATGTGCTCAGTCGAGAATCAATGTAAAGTGGAAACAGATCTGAGACAAACTGGATGTATGCTTTACATCACTTTGAATTGTTATACACTTGGCGCATCTACAGCTTGGGTTAGAAACAACACAGCAGAGAACGACAAATATAGCTAACAGTCCACCTTTTGAAGCGCCAATGCCTTCGTCATGGCCAGAGTTTGCCTGGTCAAACAGCTCAAAGACAAGCGTAAGGAAGGCACGAGTCAGACATAACATTAGCCTGGACTACTTTGCTGCAAAAC